CAAACAGTGCAAAGCAAAACATGGCACGTCCCTGAACAATCCTTATTATTATGATTATTATTATGTTTTTGATCTTTGTTGTATGATATAATTAGTCACAGTGATTAGTTTAATGGAGCATTACAGTTGTTTATTATGACTTTCTTTTAATTCTGATTTACTGGATAAAATAACTTAAAACAAATCTAATTACCAGGCTTGCTTCATTTTAGAGATTTTTATTCTTTTATTCAGTTTTAATAGAGTTATTTAAGACACTTTATATTAAAGGGTGAGATTTAATATAGTAAGCGGTGACTCAGGTTGTTTACCTTGTCGAGCGAAGGCCTTTATATACAGCTACTGCCATCCTCTCAGATCTGAGGTCAAAGGTCAGCTGGGGTCAATTAAGGGTCATGTGGGGCACGCCCTTTAGTGCCGTAAGAGATGGGCACATTACCAGAAGTGGGAAGAAAAAGCAAAAAAAGAGCAAGTATGGCAAAGTAATCCCCCCACCCCACCACCCCCCCAAAAAAAAAAAAAAAAAAAATCAATAAAAATGGCTGACATTTGTAGCTACTTATGAACTTATGTTGGAAGATAAAGACAATGCAGCTAATTACACAATTTGTCAATTAATAAACTATACACAAAGTGCAACACATTTTCTAAAGTCATGTACACAATTTTAATAGATAATAATTTACTGATAAATCTAAATTTATTATAATACCCTTATAATATATATAATCTCTGTTATGAATACACTGTTTTCTCTACACAGTGCTGTTAAATTTACCAATTTACCAATTTGAGAGGAAGCAAATAACAGGAGATTCGCTAAGGTGTTATAAAAGAATTTCACATATGTTTTACTTCTAAAAAAAATTACAATTCGGTAAAATATATTACAATATTATAACTACTGTACATAAATAGAAAATTAGTTTTAATCAAAACAGTTAAGTTAAATGAATACACAGTTAATAGAGCACATTATGTACACATTTTTTGGTTCTGATTTTTTTTTTCAATTAAATATTTATTTTTAAACTTTCTATTACGATTGAAGTTTGATTTTATTTTCACATCAATACATAAAATAGTCTCACATCTTATTTATGACATTTTTATTGCATGTATGTTAGCATTTTTAAACTGAAGGTGATTTAGTAACAAAACGTTCTCTCAGACACGGTTATTATTTCTTTCAAAAAAAGAATTTTATTTTATCATCAACCAAGAAATAGATTAAAGGGCTTACACAAGCTTCAGATTATACTACAAAACAGAAATTATAAAAAAAAAAAAAAATAGCCAGCAGTGGATTTAAGATTTAAACTTTTTAAGGTACAAGGGACACACAAACAACAGTCATATAATACAGTGATTTTCAAATTTATGAAAAGAAAATCCTACCTGAACCTACTACTGGAGCTCACTGGAGTTTTAAGTTCAAATTGTGAATTATGAATTAATTAAGTTTATGTAGTTTTCTTTATCAACATGCTTGCAAAAGTATTCAGCCCCATGGAAATCAATGCAAATGGTCATTTTATTAAATGGTATTTTATGCAATGATCATAAAACCTATACAAACGTAAAGGAGAAATCCACCCAGAATGACTTGCATATTAATCTTTATAATTAACTTGTGATCTTCAAATTATTTTTAGAACGAAATTCTGAGTTGACTTTTTTTTTAGTTTACTTCTCATTAAGATGATGTTGAACATTGCTGGAAATGTGTGAGAAAATAGGCTCTTGCTCTTTTGTTGTTAGGAGTCTGACCATTATCAATTCTATTTGCGATGTTTTAAATAGGAGAATTTTTTCTCCTATTAAACCCCATTGTAACGGCCAAATAGTGTATGTGGAGCGTCCACCACACACCTCTCACAAGAGCATGTTAGAATGAGCACATTAATATACAGTGAACCTGTAATTTGCAGCTGCACTACTGCCAGAGTTGCTGCTAGAGAAAATTAATCAACACCTTTTGACTAGTAAGAATCCAGAATTCAACAGACTTGTGGTATTAGGAGCACTAATCAATCACTAAGACAAAATGCTTTCCCGCGAGGTGCGAAAAAGCAGTTACGGCTAGACACTCCACTTCAAATGGGGAATAGTTCTATTCAGCACGAGTGAGAGAGTGACTTGTAAATTCCAATACCTCTACGCTGATGGACAAACATTGCTCCAGGCCCAAATGCACTTTGGCAGTCAAATGTTAGGCCATTGTGGAAGGCCTGCAAATTGCAGGAGCCAATTTTAGTTTTATGGATAAGTAGTCTTCACAGTCTCTACCACTACGGGGTTAACATGGACTCACTGTGTGCATAGTACAGTGCCAAATAAATTCATTTTAGGCTAAAAGGAATGTTATTTTTTTTAGCCTGAGGCTAAACCCAGGCTCCCAGAGGCAATCAAATCCGGAATATTTAAGAAATGCCATGATAGGTCTGCAGGGAAGACAATGATCAGTCAGATAGCCCCAGGACTGAGGATCTACTGAGCTCTGTATAAATTTACATTTATTTATTTTGCAGATTGTTTTATCCAAAGCAACAAAGCGAAGGTTACCGGCCTTACGCAAGATACCAATAGTGGTAGCTCTGCTTGGATTTAGACTCCTTCAGATCAGTAGTCCAGAACCCTAAATGCTGAGTCACAACTGCACCATTTAAAACTTTCCAAAAGCCCACATCCTATCTTATCGAGTTCATGAAGCATGGATCAGCTGATGAGCTGGATGAGGTGTGTTTAGTGTAATGGAAGAGGGTTTAGCTGTTTCTTGATCAGTGAATTATGGCAGGGGCATTTTTCAATCCTAGCAGCATTATCCAATAAGCGTATGACTCAGACGGTGTTACAAAAGCAGTGACGGACCCACATGGTCAGTTTATCTTCTTCATCAAGAAGATTGAATAACAATAAAACCACCACAACCACCACCAGCAGGAGAAGATTGAGGAATCAAATCGACAAGACAACAAGTTTGCATTAACATAAGACAAAGCAAGTACCTTCACAACACAACTTTTGGGCCAGTAGGGTTTGAGAACACCAATGGGGAATGGGTAAATCAATGATGCCTTGTTGAACAATGTCCTTCACTTGTTCTTCAGCTCCTATAAACCTCAAAATGGAGGAGGCAACACCAGGTATCAGGGGGACCTCCATAAGTAACTATTCAGGATTAAAAGCAAAAATTAAAGATAGGTTGAACAGTCGCCTTTCATTAGGATAACACAGGCCAAAGCTTCATTGCCATCATTTTGTCCTCAGCTCTACTGAGCATATGTAGTCTGGATGAAATCTGTCATGAAGAGAGGTACACACCTCATATGGCTTCTGTCTGGCCATATAAATGTTGTGTGTGTGTATATATATATATATTTTCCTGAAAAGGGGTTATGAACATACTGGAGTGCCAAATTTGACAAGGTTCCTGGGGCTGGAATACTTCTGCAAGCAATGTAGATTCCTCAGAAGTAAACAATCTCAATCTCTTACTTTTAAAATTGTGTTTAAATGGATTAGGGCTGCCAACCAATCTGCATGATTTTAGTGCTTCCTCTATTAGTAATATGTAAAATCTAATATATTCCATTGTCATAATTTTTGTCATGATTTTAATTAGCACCTTAAGACCTAACCCTAACACGTTTGGGGTCACTTTGCAATTTGAGGTGGGTGTGACTTTGGGATCGTTGTACTCTGAAAATAAAATGCTTGGGTATAGCTCTGACCTACTTCTATCACATTTGCTTTTACTAAAACGAGCTACTTTGCGTAGATTTGTTGTAGATTAAGCTATACGATGCAAAATCTAAAAAGAAAAAAAACTATGCTAACCTCTGGTATTAGACTTAGTTGCACTGGCTCACATTTCTCTAGCCAGACAGTTTATTTGCATACTTTCTTCATACATTATTGATCAGTTTACTCTGTTTTCTTATTGCTATGCAGTTTGGTCTAAAAGATTGTTTTGGATAAGCTCATATTCATGACTCATGTCACTGAGGTTACGTGTAAATTTGCAGATGGTTGGCAACTCTGCGTCTGACCACTTATAGGGTCAATCATTTAACAAGAATATTGGACAGAGCAACGTGACCTTTCTTCACCACGATAAATGATTATGTACAATGTTTAAATGCTCCCATAAGCCCTTTAATGCTAAGGAACATTGCATTACAAAAAAAGAAGTAACACGATATGTGTATCAATAATTTTTTGTTCTTTGTTTCTTTAAGTAGAATTTACAAGGGACACACTGAAGTTGATCACTCATCAAAAAGTGTATATAGAAATGTACCTGACTAAATCTAAATACCTAACACCTGAAGTTTACACCACCTTCTACCAACTAGCACCCACCCCCTAACTTCTCAATACTGGCATAGAAGGATTCTGATTGGTTGACTATTTTACACGTAATTAGTGATCACAGGTTTAATTATCTCGCATCCATGCAACAACCAGCCTCTACCAGTGTCAAACTGAATGTCCCCATGAAATCATGTTCCCGTCTTCCCCTTCCTCTCTGGGATGCTTTGTTTTTTCGTAGTTTTGGTTGATTTTATTCTGAAAAAAAAAAAAATGAAAAAGAATGGGGGAAGTCCATATAAAATCCATTACTTGGAAATGCATGGGCGGGCGTGGCTGACTTTAGAGTTCAGTATCGTGTATAAGGTTGGTCTCTGTACAATCCTTTGTTTGTCCTCGCTGACGGAGCTTTGTTGCGGCCATTTGTCCACTTTTCCTGGCCTGAAAGGGAAAAAAACAAACACAGACAGGCTTGGAACTTCACGCAGACACGTAACAGATAAAGCCCACAACAATGTAAATTACACAGTAGGTTGTTGCTGGAAGGCAGTAAAATGGACTTATTAATAAATAAATCTGGAGGAAAAATAACTTATAATCATGCTGTTATAGGAAAATAAGTAGTCAAATTTGTTCAATCCTCAGTTTCATGCAAATATTCACTTGTATTTAATAGCATAATCGGGTCCCTGGAGGACTAGTGGTTAGGCCTCGGTGCTCTCACTGCCACGGTCCTGGTTTGATTCCCAGCCAGGGAACCACCCCCAGCCGCTGGGGTTGCACACAACAGTGCACTCCCAATGCCAGTCCCAAGCCCGGATAAAACTGGGGAAGGCTGTGCCAGGAAAGGGCATCCCCTGAAAAACCGTGCCAAATCAAAAGATGCGGACCAATGATCCCATTGTAGCGATGCCTAACGGGAGCAGCCGAAAGAGGAACAACAAATCCACTTTGATTTGTTCATTTCTCTGCTGTTACTCTATGACTGAATTGACAGATTACTTAAAAAAAATGAACACTGAAGACAGGAACGCTAGCTGCTAGCTACTGTCTAACTAACAGCATGTCTACACAACTGATATAGTGTTTCCTGTTGATGCTGGAAAGTGTTACTGATTGGCTGCATATTCTAAATCCTTCACTCTGTCAAAAAGTTTGATTCATGATCACTATGGGCCATATTCATGGTTGAGATAAGCACTTGTAGTGAGGATTTAATACAGAAATTGCACACATTGATACTCAGACCTCAGAGTTAAAATCTAGTCAGATGTTACATGAGATATGGGGAGGAGTTTGAAGTGAAGTGTGGCCAAGTATGGTGACCTATACTCAGAATTTGTGCTCTGCATTTAACCCATCCAAGTGCACAGACACAGTAGTGAGCACACACCCGGAGCAGCCTTTTTTGCTGCGGCGCCCTGGGAGCAGTTGGGGGTTCGGTGCCTTGCTCAAGGGTCTCACCTCAGTCGTGGTATTGAGGGTGGAAGAGAGCGCTGGTCATTCACTCCCCCACCTACAATCCCTGCCGGACCTGAGACTCGAACCCATGACCTTCGGGTTCACCTTCGGGTTACAAGTCTGACTCTCGGACCATTAGGCCACGAAAACAGAGTGTCAGTTACATGCGATTCTGAACTTGGACTTAAGCACAATTTGTTCCCTAAGTAACTTTTAGAATTAAGCCACTGACTATGAATACAGTAGGGTCCTTATTGTACTACTAACTGTAATATTCCTTAAATGGGTCAGATGATGTGACTGAACTTTTCTACAGCAGTAGATTTTAAATAATACCTTCCTGGGATGATGCTCAGAAGTCTGGGATGCATGTCTAGGTGCATGTTTTCCCCCTAGCTTGATGATGTTTGTCTCTACATCTTTTAATTAGAAGCCAAGATAAAATCACAACCAGACCAGATCAGCCCAGCCGATCTATTAGCCTTGTAGCGCGGAGCTCTTTTATGCTTGTCTGTGTTGATGCATAAGAGTTTTGTTGATGCTCGTCTTCGTTCCTCTCAGAGCACAGTGGTGTCCTCTCCCCGAGCAGCTATTCAGAGCCGAGACCCATTAGCGATAGTCTTTAATAGGAGAGCTGTCAATCTGCCGGTGTGGTTGAGCGCTTTGAAAAAGAGAAACCTTCGACCTTGTGTTTATAGAGAACAGGAACGCACGCTAGCCTGGTTAATCTACGGGTCTCCTTTGAACTGTCAAGCTGTCAGCTCTTTGGGACGCCCCAAGGAAATGTCATCAGGGCTGTGTATGTGTTTGTGCGTGAGAGTGTGAAAAGCAAGGAAACAGAAGAGGAGTGGAAAATAAATGAAAGAATGTAAGAGTACATGGTTATTTGATAAGCATTTTAAATGCTCCATCTATTCCAATTTATATGTAGATTTTATTTAAAGAGACTAATTTAAATAAAATTTCACTCCCATATACTTTTTAGATCTCTGTTATTTGACTATATGAATCATTGCATCTCAGTGTGTACAATAAACTGTATAAGGGATTTAAATTACACCAGAATGCCAACTTCACCCTGGAAAATATATGTTATTGGAAGTTGTATGCTATTGCAGGCTGTATTACAAATGTACACAATGTACATTGTGTACACAATCTTTAACACTGTACAGTCAGTCAACATAGGTCTGCATTTTCATGAAAGGAAATCATACCGTATGAGTCATAGGATTCCCCGCTTAGACCATGTCCATATTCATAATAGTCCTCTGAGCTGGAGAGAGAGAGAAAGAGAGAGAGAACATTATTATTATTATTATTATTATTATTATTATTATTATTATTATTATTATTATACAGAGTATTTACCGTTGATGAGTAAATTAACATCAACCTTGCAATTGAAAAATAAAGTGAACACAGAAGAAAAATACATTATTTAGGTCAGTGTAACTGGCCACGGTCCATCACCATGTGTGGGTTCACCCAGACACACTGCACTATTCTGAGGAATGGATCAAGAAATCCATATATTTTTTCCCATTTTTGATCTGTACACTTGTAACTCAAACACGTCACACCCGTAACCCGAACACTTCACACTCAGAACTCAAACATGTCACTCAGAACTCAAACCAGTCACATCTGTAACTCAAATAAGTCACATCTGTAACTCAAACACGTCACACCTGTAACCCAAACACTTCACACTCGGAAGTCGAACACGTCACATCTGTAACTCAAACACGTCACACCCGTAACCCGAACACTTCACACTCGGAAGTCGAACACTTCACACCAGGAACTCGAACACTTCACACTCGGAAGTTGAACACGTCACACCCGTAACTTGACCACTTCACACTCGGAATTCGAACACGTCACACCCGGAACTCGAATAATTCACACTCGGAATTCGAACACGTCACACCCGTAATTCGAACACATCGCACCTTGAAAACATCATACAAACATCGCAGATAACTCAAATATGTCACACTCATAACAAAAATGTTACAACCATAACTCAAAAACATCACACTCGTAGCTCAAACATGTCACACCCATAGCTCAAAAACCTCACTCTCATAGCTCAAAAATGTCACACCTGTAACACAAAAACATCAGAGTGCAGAAATGTCACATGTATAACCTGAAATCATGATACATGTAATGCAAAAATGTCACAACCATAACAAAAAACAAAGACAGAACAGAAATGTCACACTTGTAAAGCAAAAATCCTTACATCCAAAATGTCTTATCTGTAACGTAAAAGTTTAGTGAACGTGTGTCACGTGGATGTGACGTTAAACTGATTCTGTTGCAAAGAGAAATTGTCACATAAACACGTGTCAACCTACTGAAATGTTCAGAAGTGTGTTATTGACAGGCAGTAAAATTTCTCTTGCTGAAATATTCTCAGCCATTCCTCAGTTTCAGTGGTTTAAACAGCTGTGCTGAGAACAGCTGTCTTCTGCACTGCCTGTCAGCAGGTCTAAATAAGCAGTGCTTGCTTTTACATACAAATATGAACCAAAGGAGAATCCATCTCTCACATTCTCAACCCATTTCTCTCACCTTTTCTCCCTCGCCATTTCTTTCTGTCTCACCTCTCTCTTTTTCACAAACCTCTCATCCTCTCTCTCTCACTCTCATCTCTCTCACCAGCAAGTTCTTCTTCTCTTAGCACAGGACTGCTGCATCTCCGTCCTGACCAACAGCAGTGCACCCCAGTGCTGATTGTGAGTCTGTGAAGGATATGTCATCGCCATAATGCAAAAACATCACATCAGTAAGGTTAAACTGTCACAGCCACACCCAGATAATTTAAAAAATGTAACACAAATATGTCACGTGTAACATGAAAGCATCACACCCATATCATTTAAGCGTCACATCTTCGTATCTACGTATATCCACACAATGTCAACGCTGTAAGGCAAAACTGCCAGCACACATGTAACACAAATATGCCACACTATACACAAACGTCACATGCATGACACAACACCTATAACAAACAAAGAACAAACATGAAACACAAGTACATCACACCCTTACACATATATGTTACACCAGGAAAACAAATGCGTAACACATAAGCATCAGATCTTTAATCCCAAAATATCACATCCACATTGCTGTGCAAATTTGTCATATCCATAACACAAAGCTCACACCCGCAATCCCTATATGGCATATCCATAATACAAAAATGTTTAACACAAATACATCACACCGTAACACTAATACCTCATACCCGTAACACTAATACATCATACCCATAATACTATTATGTCATACCCGTAACAGTAATACGTCATACCGTAACACTGATACATCATTGCTGTAACAATAATACGTCATAGCTGTAACAATAATACGTCATAGCTGTAACAATAATACGTCATAGCCGTAACACTAATATGTCATACCCGTAAGACTAATTCATCATAGCTGTAACACTAATACGTCATACCCGTAACGCTAATACGTCATAGCCGTAACAATAATACGTCATACCCGTAACACTAATATGTCATACCCGTAAGACTAATTCATCATAGCTGTAACACTAATACGTCATTCCCGTAACACTAAAACATCATACCAGTAACACTAATACGTCATAGCCGTAACACTAATATGTCATACCCGTAACACTAAAACATCATACCAGTAACACTAATACGTCATACCTGTAACACTAAAACATCATACCCGTAACACTAATAC